GTCCGTCAATTAGGGGTAAAATTGATTTCAATATTGTTATCATATATTCTTTATATTACACTATAATAACAATAATAATATATGTGCACAAATGTACACTATATATTGTACATAAGTCTGCAATTATTTTGATGGAAGAAATAATAATAGACACGAAATTCAATTATAAGTGAAAACTTTTCACAGTTTTCTCATGCATTTCAATAAGATTTTATTGAAAGCACTTTATTATGTAGTTATAAAAAATCAATCTTTCTTTATATCAATACATGATTTCCTGTCAACGAAATAAAAATTGAATGCAATTATTGTCTTATCTAAAGGACACCGAAACGCAACGTAAACTCGAAATGAGACACCGGGAGGAAGAGGACGACCTCTACAGACAGTTCTCGAAGAAGAGGGCAGAAGAGGAAACTCATATTAGTCAACAAATTCAGGTTAGCTTTCATATGCGATACAATGAATGGACAAATTATGAACCAAAACCTTATAATCACATGAAATACATGAAAATTGTAGGAGGAATGGGAGAAAGAGTTGGAACGAATCACATCCCGATTCCAACACGAGTTAAGTACCAAAAAGAAGCGAATCAATGGCGACGAGGAGAAGGCTCTGACTATTCGGCACCAGAAAGAGAAGGAGGACTTAGAGAAGAATATGACCGTTAAGTTGGACCGCAAGAAGGAGTCGCTGACCAGAAAGCTGTTGGAACAGGAGAGACAGGCAACCGCTGAACTGGTCGACAAACAGAGCAAAGAGATGATTAATCTTATCTCTGAAAAGTTCAATGAGTTCTCACAAGTAATTCTTTGCATTGCTTTTTCATTTAACACGTTTTGTATTAATTGTTTGTATTAATTCAGACAAATGTCAAGAGTTATATTAGTCCAGATGAACCGCCAATAATGCCATACCCGGCCCAACCGCCCCCTCCAAGTCCTCCGCTCATATCAAAGATGGATATATACCACGACCCAAATGTATTCGCAGAACTCGACCAAATTGCTATCAATGTATGATTTTTTTGGGGATACTTTAGAGTTTGTCTTAAAATGTGTTTTGACGTTCAGGTCGCTCGAGAAGATCAGAAGACTTTCACAGATTTGGTGCGACTGTTGATCGGCAGTTGTATTACAGATGTAGAGAAGGCGAGGGCTATATTCCGGTGGATTACTGTCAAGAATTTAAATACAATAAAGTTTGACGACGACGCCGACAACTCGGACACACCGATGGGTATACTGAGGGGTATCAAACACGGCACTGAGAGTTATCATGTACTGTTCAAACGGCTTTGCAGGTGAGTCTCCACGCAATTACATCTGAAATCATATTGTATTCAATATCGAAATTATATTTCATTCAAGTCTTTATCGCTTAATAATAATTCTCTATATCTTTTTCATATACAGAGTATTGAGTGTTTAATAAAAATTGTGTTTTCTAGTGTTGTAAAGTATAGTAAAATTATGTGATATAAGTAATTGTCGCGTGTATAGAGCCCACAACTCTATGAAATTCTTGGCCCACTTTCTCATCAATTTATTTGTGTTAAACGCTATCCCATTGTGTTGTTTAGCTTATTATAAATTTAAGCATAAGTTTATCTTATAAGTGTTGACATTACTTCACATAAACTTATTAAATATAAGATTGTTTATTCAATGAATGTATAAATATTAATTAAAATTTATGTTCTGTTGTTTTATGAAATATTTGTTGTCNATTTAAGCATAAGTTTATCTTATAAGTGTTGACATTACTTCACATAAACTTATTAAATATAAGATTGTTTATTCAATGAATGTATAAATATTAATTAAAATTTATGTTCTGTTGTTTTATGAAATATATTATATAATCTCAATGAATATTTAACAGTTAATAAACCCATAGACCGACAAATACAACCCTTGCCCTCTTGAACACAGAAAATCAACTGAATTTGCATGAAATCAATTAATTCATATAATTTACACTATAAATACAATGTTAGCTAGCTATAAGTAACCTTTCATTTAATAGCTGCAAATTATATTATGTTGAATATTTATAATTAAGATGAACTTTGGATATAATTTATTTAAAAATATTATATTCATTAAGTCTTTATGACATTTATTTTAATTATTTAAATGACATTAAAATTTGTAAAAAATATATTTAATGTAATTGATCATTTCACTCACACAATGAAATAGATTTGAACTGAATTTTGTTTTCATGATTTAATGTGATTCAAGAATACTGTAAATAATTATATGTTTTCTAAATGATATAAATTTTAAACAAAACATTTAATAATAATATTAATGCAAATGAATTATCTTTGAACAGTTACGCGGGTTTGCATTGTGTAGTCATTAAGGGTTACTCAAAGAGTGCTGGATATCAACCGGGAGTCCGATTCGAAGACAACCGGTTCCGGAACTCATGGAATGCAGTCTACGTGGCCGGCGCCTGGCGTTTCGTTCAGTGCAATTGGGGGGCCAGACATCTGGTGAACGCCAAAGAGGTGCCCAAACCTGGAAGTAAAGGCAAATCCGATAGTTTGCGGTATGAGTACGACGACCACTACTTCCTCACTGATCCCAAAGAATTCATTTACGAGTTCTTTCCGCTTCAACCCGATTGGCAACTCCTCAAGACTCCCATCACTATCAGTGAATTCGAAGAACTGCCGTTTGTTAGATCCCTCTTCTTCAGATATGGTCTCTATTTTACGGCCGAAGACTTGAGAGCTGTCTTATACACGGATAGTTCGGGCGCTTCTACAGTGCGGATAGGAATGCCTACTAATATGACTCCAAGTCTTATATTTCACTACAATCTTAAGTTTTATGACCGCGAATCTGATTCGTTTGATGGCATCGGACTCAAGAGATTTGTAATGCAGTCAGTTGTGGGAAATATGGTCTCATTCCGAGTACACGCGCCCTGTAGTGGGGCTTTCATTATGGATATCTTTGCCAACGCCACCACTCCTCGAGAGTACGTGACGGGAGAGCCCATGAAATTCAAGAGTGTCTGCAAATTTAAGATCGATTGCGACGATCTGCAGACAGTTATGGTCCCATTGCCTGACTGTGCGAGTGGTGAATGGGGACCACTGAAGAGTACCCGACTCTTTGGACTCATTCCTCTCACACACGAAGACGCGTTGATATTCTCCGACAGAACTCTGGAAATACAGTTCCGAATGTCCCGACAGTTGACTGATTTCATGGCCTCTTTGCATAAGAATGGCATCGAAGAGAAGAAGCTCTCGAAGTTCGTGTCGGCGCACGTCGAGGAAGACATCGTCTCCTTCTTCATCAAATTCCCCGAAGAGGGTCAGTACGGACTCGACATCTATACCCGAGAAGTGAGTTCAGAGTTGTTGAAGGGAGACAAACAACTACTGACCCATTGCTGCAAATACCTCATTAATGTGGGCTCTAAGAGGTTATAATACATCCAAACAAAGCATTCATTGTCTAGAATCTGCAGTTTAGTGAAAATGTTTAAATTATCTGATAATTAATAATAAAAAGTATTGTACAGAGTGTTCAAACTGACATTGGTCATTCCCATTTGTTGGTTTAATATATATATTTTAAATCATTATATAAAATATATAATTATTTTATTTTTATTGTTGTTGCATATTATTAATTTTGAATTTAATATAAATAAATTGATTTAACATTTCTTGTATTAAAATATTGATATATTGATGTGGTTACTAAATTATGCAAAACCAGTGAAATGTTTAAATAATATTTTTGTTTAATAATATTGTAATTCCATTAAATTAATGTTTATAAAATTAATTGCTTGTGTAATTAATGCTTTATTTTCAAAACAGATCATAAAAATATAAATTGACAAATAATTAATGAAATATTATAACGAATTTAATGTATTCTAAAATAATTATTAATTGTTAAATACTTAATAAATTTATTTTTAAAATTTGTCATTTTAATAAATTTATGGTTTATAATTTTGTATAAACAAAATTCAATTTTAAACTAATTAATAAATTCTTGAATGTAACTTGTTTACACATTTAATAAAATAAATTGAATGTTTGAATTTTATAACTTGTTTATGAATTGAGTAGTTATTTTATAAGTTTCAAATAATATATCGTACTATCAAAAATATTAAAATATTTAATTATAATATATTTTAAGTTTAATTTAAATTTAAGTTTAAGTTTAAGTTTAGTTTAATATAAACTATAAATATTAAAAGTTTTAAAAGTCTTATTAAACTCACAAGTTATTATCTGACTATTATAAAATAAAAATTATGGTTTAACAATTAAATTAAATTATTTATTTCATTAAAACGTTTCTATTAATCAATATGTTTTAACATTGCGAAATAATATTGTGAAATATTGTGCAAAAACAGTAACAATTTTATTTTCAAAATATTTTGTTTAACCAATTGACGACATTAATGATTCATTAATAATTAAAGAATGCCATGAATTCCCATATTTTGATTTTATATAAGTTTTATAATTATGCAATATTGATAACAAATAATTTTGGTAATTATTTTTATTAAAGTAATACAAAATGGTAATAAATTAAGTAATTTTCCAGGATACAAGTAAGAGTCTAATAAAGTTTGTTAAATATTTGTATAAATGATGAAATCATTAAAAATTGAAAGGATTGAAATCACACAATGAAATCTTGAAGCCTAATCAATTTTCACTTTAAAAATGCTATTAAAAATATAATTAGTATTTTGAGTATAGCTCCTTTGGCATCCTTAGGGCAAAAACCATATATTAAATTTGGAAACGATCGCCAACTTTGATCACAAACTAAATGTTTGTCTTATATTCCTGTATAAGTATTTGATGTCTTTTATACCTAACATTCTTAAAGGATTAAGATTTGTTCCTGTTACATAACATCTTGCAAAAATATTGTCAATTTATATAATTTATTTCAGATTTAATATAATATCTTATGACAGGATATTATAATAAAGTTACTAAAATTCATCTACAAATAAAATTCTTATTAACTTTTGTTTTTGCTTATTCAAATTTATGTTTTTGTAACCATATTATAGCAAATAATTAGTATGTAATAAATGTTATTAACTTTTGTTTACTCAAAACTAATTAATAATTAATAACATGAAATTGGTGGACAGTATTTGGTTTACTCAATGACATTAAAAGAAAATATAGTTTTCTTTAAACACCCAATAAATCTAAATACAGTATTATATTTGATTATTTATCGCAAATTTTAGAGTTAATTCATTGAAAATGTCAATGAGATGTTATGTATAAAATGAGACTTTCATTGATAATTCACAAAATAGTTTGTCATTGAAGTGACTTTAATGTACACAATCATTGAATTGAATACACGTCCAATTTATTTGCTTAATGTGAATGCAAAACAATATGGGGTCTAAACTGAGGACATATCTATAATTAATCCAACATTTGGACAGTTTTAGTGATAGAGAAAATAAATTTAAATGAAATTTATATCACCACTGAAATGCGTTTATATTAATCTTTAGGTGTTTAACCTTAAATATTTATAAACGAGTATTAAATATTGTGCTTGAGAACTTTACACCTAAATTAAATTTAATTTTTGCTAATTTCATTTGAATTAACAATTATTTAAGCTATTGTTTGAGCCTAGTGTCTTTAATTACAATTAATTTGTTACAATAATTATTTTAATTACATTTAATTTTTAATTTAAAAAATTATTTTTAAAATAATTATTAAACACACAAATTCTTAAATAATTTAGTTTTTAGTTAACTATAATATAAAGTAGTTGGAAAGGGTTGGCTAAACATACGTTTAATTAAAATTTTATTTAAATTATTTAAAGCACAAAAATCAAATAAAAAGCATCATTGTTTTAAACGTTAAAATTGTTTTCGATTGTTTCCACAAGTTTTGTTCATTAGTCTTATTTATCAATTAATAAATATATGAAATGTTTTTAACCTTATTGTAAATCCTGTTTACTAGTATATGGTTTATATTATATCATCTCAATAAAGGTATTGTGCGCACAGGTATTTCAAATATATTATATTACTTTAGATGAACTTAAATACTGGATTACAAGTATAAGATGAGACAATCTTTTGTATCCTTGAAGTGAAACTCCAATTTCCAATCAACGAAATTATTGTATAAATGAATACTACAATTACATATAAACTTAAATGTGTTATTTTATACAGATTTTGTTAATATAACAAATTTTTTATTTTGACTTAGTTGATAAGAAATATAATACAGCACATTATTAATTTGGCAAAAATATATGATATTTCAAGGAAATGCTAACTAAAGATATGTCCAAATATTTTTGTAATCAAACGAAGGTTTTACTTATTAATTATAAATATTAGTTAATATAAACACATTAACAGATGGTTTAGTTTATTCAATAAATAATCAATTATAGGAAATGAAATACTCTATACATGTTTTCTCTTTACAAAATATTTAAGGAATTTTTTGTTTTTTAAGTTTCAATTTCATACATAATTTGATACTCAATATTCCGTTCATAATTAAAAATGCAAACACAAATACATATGAATAGAAGGTTATTAACGATTCAACAATCATACAACTTGTGCCTTGTTATCATACGATCAATAATACTAAGTTATTATCGGTCTTATTATTCAAACTTTTCTAAAATGCTCATTAATTCTGCGATAAAAACAAAACACTCGAGTTTTATATAAAAATATTCCACATATTATAATTAAATAAGACTTGTGTTATATTCGCATAAATTGCAT